TATTTATTGTATTTCTTTTAGATTTATGAAAAAATAGCAAAGCTGTTAAATTGTAAGACAGAACACTAGCCAAAACTAGTATCAATTATTAATTTGACCAAATCGAAGGTATTCAAATAAGTAAAATTGATTCTCATTCTAGAACTAATCAGATAATTACTAATAATAGCTCTATCAACAGGTTGAATTATGTATAAGAATAGATAATATAGTAAAGACAATAGCATCACGCTATCCGTGCTGAATCCCGCCATCTTGTGTTTTGTAATATTTTTAAACTTAATATCAAAAGTTGGACTGATGTATGCTGTACATTCTCAATGAAAAATCAAAATTCAAAATGAAGTTTAATATTTGGTGTTATTGCTCAGATGCATTGAATGAATAATATATCTCGTGTGCAATACTTTCGATTTTAATTATACAGTACATCAATATATTTAAAAAATAGATCTTTAATAAATACTTAAAGCAAATTTCATTCTAATCTGATCTATATCAGGTTTTACTAGCTCATAATTCAGGTTTTACACTGCTCTTTTTTTTTTAGTATATAGTATTAAACTATACTATTTTATGCGCAGAGTATGCTTTATTAAATATGCAAAATTTACACTAATATGCAAATATGCTTTTGCATATGCTATTGCGATAAAATTAAATTTATGCGCATATTGTGCTATAGCAGATCCACCCTATCCCTATCTCCGCTATAGCTCACCCACAAGATTTTTTCCGGCACGTGATTCTAGCCAATTAAATTGAAGGAGCAGGTGTAACGTGAAAATCACGTCTTTTTAAAAAATCGCCATTAACTCTATGAAACTGCCTTCTGCGTTCTAATAAAAAAAATTCCTCGTGAAATTTTAGTATAAGCTATGTCCTTCCTCATCCCTTATTCTAACCTTAAGATGAGGCTTCTTACTTTAAAATCTTTCGCTTAATTCGATTGTCTTGATTTTACGTTACACCTGATCCTTCGATATAATTGGCTAAAAATCACGTACCGGAAAAAATCTTGTGGGTGAGCTACTATTAATGCAAAATAGCCAATCAGATCGCAGGATCAGATGTAACGTGAAAATCACGCTTTTTCAAAAAATCGCTGATAACTCCTTCTGCTCTTTCTGCTCTCTAACAAAAAAAAAAATTCTTGCTAAATTTTGGGATAAATAATGCCTTGTTACGACCTTGATAGTAACCCTAACAATAAGGCTTATTGTCTTAAATCTCTCGCTTTACTTGATTGTTTTGATTTTCACTAATTGGCTGTAGCCACGTGCCTGCCACTCATCTTTTCACAGGAAGATGGGTTATATATTTTACAATAAGAGACGTCAAAGACAAATACTAAATGACGCACTTCGTAGTAAGTCAAAATGCTCTAATTTCATAATTCGCCGTGATGGCTTGATATTAGGTATATAATTAACAGACAAAATTGGATAAATTATCTTTTTACTTAAAAAATATAAAATCACTACAGTAAATATTTACAATTTTTTTTTAATTAACCTATTTTCATAAAATCAACTATGGGTTTGCATTACTGTATACAGCAGTTCAACCTCTTTATACTTTCCAATTAAATGAGATTCATGAACTGAGTGAATTAACCCATCGACTAACTATTGTTTTTTCTGACAATTCAGGTTACAAATTTTATTATGAGAACTTGTTTGAATAATTTAGGTGCTACATAACACGCTATATAATTGGTTAAGTATGTAAAAGGTTGGACACGGTTGGACTTGGACGGGACAAGAAAAAAATTCTTAGGCACCAACACAGTCTTATATCAATTTATCCGCATTGTATTCGAAATCGATACAGTAACATTTGCGTTTCGATATATCCATCACGTGCTTTATTCAACAGGATTCTAAAATAACTTTATTGTGGAGTGCAGATGCAACTCTATATTTATAACGATAACTATAATTTTGATTGAAAAAGTATAAAGTTCACGTATATTTGAACCTTATGATACCGGGAGTCTAAAATAGTAAAGTAGGATGATGTCATGATAGGGGGTTTTCAGTACTCTGTACTTGCTAGAACTATCAGGGGCCGTCAGTTCAAGTCTTCATTTTACAATTGTATTTCAAACTTGTATTTAAGTAATTTTAGTGAGAGCGCAGTTAACACCGTCACATGTAACAATAACATAATATTACCAAATAAAGTTGAATTCGGATATTTATAGCATCCTAGTTACCCGGGATCCTTTTACGTACAGTTATCGTTATTGAATTTATAATTACGACCTGCATAATTCAGTAAGGTGAATTTAAGTCCTTTTAGTAAATGACCTTACTAAAGATTAGCAAGGGCGTGCAGAAAGAAATATAAATTCAAGTACTTACGTATTAGTGAATTATACGCATGGAATAAGAAGAAAAATGAAACGTTCGATCGGGTTGATAAGAGATTGTTGATCTTAGAATTGGAAGGCAAGAATAATCAGAATACGTAACAAAGGGCAAACAATTCATAAGTACAAATTAATGCCAGAAGAAAGAACAGATAGATTACTATGCCTGAAATAGATAAATATGTACGATGAACAAATGTAGCATATGATTAATTTAGCCATTTTATATTTTATTGTAGATGCATGCTACACTAATTCGTTAGGAGAACCTTATCAACGAATATCATGTGATATAAGGCGCAATTTTAATATGGGGTCAAATGATCGACGCACCTACATTTTACATTTAGGCAAAATTGGATAAATGAAATGGTACCCAGAAATCAAACCAACATCAATTGAATACATCTCGTGACATGAAACCAATCAGAAGATCAATCTATTTATATAAGCCAATCAAACCCTATTGGTCATATGATTTATCTCCGCTTTAGACTTCCCCTTATTTTAGCCAACTTCGTGACTATGATTCTTCTCAAGTTTATTTTTGACCATCCTTCGAATGCTAAAAAAATTTGCGAAATGATACCTAGAAATTAAATTGACAACGCCTTTATTATTACATAAGCCTAGAAAGCAAATTTTGCATGTGACAAATCGGGTGTTTGATATATAAGTTTCAGTATTTTACGCTATAGTAACATAAAATTTCATACAATTATAGAGAGACCCTCTCTAAATGCACTCTCTAAATGCATTCTTTATAAACGCACGAACCATATAAATTCTTTTCAAACGATCTCAATAGCGATATACACTGCATAACTAATTAAAATCGCTCTCTATGAATGTGCGATAATGTTTCACGTGATATACGAACAGGTTATCCACTAGTTTCGTATCTATTTATAATGCAAAGGTTCAAGGGGTGCAAGAAGTTTGACTTATAAAGGTTCAAGAAAATTTCCTGTTACGATAACAAATCTACAAATCGATTCTAGCCTTAAGCACTTTTTTACACATGGTAATAACCTTTCTTAAGTTAGATTTATAATCGACTTTTCGAATGCGATCTGCAAAATATATGCATGCATCATGTCAATAAGTGGGCTCAACCGGTCAGCCGGTCAAGTTAAAGGACTAATTTGTAACTATCCTGCGAATCCTTGTTTTAAAAAAATGCAAGCCACTATATGTTAGATCAAACGAGCTTTGGTCGGCAGCTTCGTCTTTTGTGAATCAAGAGAAGAAAGGTATAGAAAGGCTGGGCTGAACACAACAATGAATAACTAATTGTGCTAATTATACTAATTATGATTTTGATAGATTAACAAATTAACACATCTCATTCATCTCATTGGTAATTATGATTTAATTTAATTAATTATTTAATTAATTATTAAAAAACATAGAATCGTTTACATGATTCAATGATGAAGTAGCAACTTTATATTACGCAAGGTGAAAACCGATAAAAATGTACATACTGCAGGCATTGGGAATTGTTTAATATATGTAAAATACGTAAATTTTGTTTATTTCTTAATATTGAGTGACTAATTATGCTACAAGTGTAAATAAACGATGGCTTTTTCAGAAAAGTATTGTAAGACAAAATATATACTGTATATGCACTATTTTTACAACTTAAAAAAAAAAAAATGCATCAAAAAAAAAACATATAAATAAATCATTAGTGGCTCTCGTAAAAACTTTAATGCTATTATGAACAAATAAAAATTCAAACATCATACTTGTAAAAATTTCTTTACAAACACGACATTAATGAATATTTTGGCACAACATATACTTGAAACAATTCCGCTCTTACTTATTTTATACAGAACTGCAGAAAGATTTTCAATAATTGAACCACTATTTGCAAATATTTGTACAAAGATATAATACATTATTCAGTGTTTTTTTTTTTGTTTCCACTTTGGTTTCTACTCTATTATTTATTCTCTTGAAGATATATCAAAATTTTCTTGTAACAGACCATTACAAGAATTCATCTATCTTGACTCTTGTAAATTTAAGGGTTTGCCGGCAAGCCTTTTCTTAACGACATTTGATATATCGGCTCTTGGAACAATTCCAGAGAGTATTGTCATCGCAAATTTTAATTACAACCGATAGAAAAATGAATGTTTCATTTACGGAACGTTTAATGGAATTAAACAATGCTCGTGAAAGGTCACTTATCTCAGAGGAAGAGTACTGCATGTTAAGGTTGAAGATATTTGATGCTTTTACATCATCGACCACTCAATCGACCACTTCTCAGCCTCAACAACAACCTCTTTCGTCTCCTCATGACAAATCACTGCAACAATTAACTCCACAACCTTCATCAATTCTTCAACAACATGTAACTTTCAGTCAACAAACTTTTAATTCTTTTCCGGCAAAACCACTTTCAGGTAAAACGAAGATACCGTCGGCGCAATCAATCCATTCTTCAAATGGCTCTTTATCATCTACCCAACAATCTCAACAATCTCCACGATTACTTTCACGTCAGATTAACGACACCATTAGTGATAATATTACGAATGACTCTTCAACACCAGAAAACGTAATAGGAACTAATTCAGTTTCACCTACTAATCAGATATACATTCCTAAAAGAACTCGTTCAAGTTTGGTTTCTCCTGTTCTTCAGGCATCCAATATTAATAGTAATGAAGAATTATCTGTACGAGTATTACCAACGCTTTCTGAATCTCAACATGCGACTACTTCAAGTGCTAATATAAAATCTCCATCATCACCCCCATCATCAGTAATGTCAAGTTCAATTCCTATTTTAAAGGCAATAATACGTGATTCTTCAAAAAAGAACCTTTCTACGAATCGTTCTACTCCAATGACTTATATTAATCTTGATCCTACCTCTTTATTTGATCATACTAACAATCATAATGTAACTACCAATATTATGAATCATAACGAATTGAACAATAGTGACTCGATTAATATTATTAAAAATGATGAAAATCATCTTAGTAACGGAAGAATTACGAGCTATGATAATACGAATGTTATAAGACACAACGGTGAAAATGTAAATACTAATAGTGATGGTAATGATGTGAACCACACTAGCATTAACAGTGGTGTAATGAACCACACTAGCATAAATAGTGGTGTAATGATTCAAAAAGATGAAAGATCTGAGATGATTCAAACAAATGTGAATAGAATGAATTTTATGAATAATATGAATGGAAATAATGTTGATGACGATGATCGTCTAGTTTCATCGCTTCAACCCTTTTCCCAGTCTCAATCATCACCTCAACCACAACAAAGACAAAATATAAATTCGGCTACTTTATCAGCAAGGCAAATTAGATCCCTTAGTCTTGGTCCTAGTTCAGTTCTATCCTCAGATAACGACACAAATAATAATAATAATAATAATAATAATAATAATAATAATAATAATGACAATAATGACAATAATAACAATAACAATGATAATAATAATGGATCTTCGAATTCGATTAGTTTCGCCAATAGACTCAGAAACAGAAGTAGTCATGGCAATCTCAATACAAGACGTTCTTTTAATGTTGGAGAAGTTATAAACTCACTAAATCGTGGCGGTGATGAAACAGGTAAACGTAGTAACATACTTAAATTTAAGCTATTCAAAAAATCATCTAAAAAATGATAAGGTGAAGGATTTCGGATGGTGGAGTTTCAAAATGTAAGCAATTTTGAGCGATTTGTAGTTGATAAAGCCTATCGTGATTTTTCTTTTAGAGTGGAACACATATTGGATGATATTGGGGAATATTTTATTCATATGCCAAATATACACATATATATATACTTTTTTTAAAAAAAACAAATATACATACGCATATTACAAATACCATATCAAATACATTTATTTTATTTACATAATAAAATTTAAATATTTGTCATTTATTTGCTATATAGATCAGTATGAACAATCTGTGCCAGAAGTTCCACCACCACCTTACTCACCACCAGAATCATCTCGTAAGTCTTTTTTTTTTTTTCTTTGAAAAAAAAATTTTTGTGACTCAAACATTTTTGCTTTTTTTCAAAAAAAAAGTCCGATTCCATCGTCGTCGTTCGTCAACTTCATTCTTTCTAAGGCCAAAAACCTCAGCTGATCTTCGTAAAGAACTTTTGAAATTAACTGAAGAATCGAAGAAAGAACAAGATAATTGGAGAATCGAGGAAGCTAGGTTAAGAATGCGAATAAATTCTAAGCCAGAAGAAATTGAACGGGTTAAAAGGAAAATGAGAGAATCTAATGAGAAATATCGGAAAAAAATTGAAGCTGTAACTGCAAAATTGAGACAGTTGAGTTTTAATAACATGGATGGGAATTAAATGATAAAACGATATGGCATACTATAGAAGCAACTTGTACATATGTGGTAGAATAGTATGGATAATCATTATTTATTTATTTATGTCATTGATACATTGTTTTTATTCAGTTTCTTAATTCGTTTGTTCATTATATATATATATTTTGCAAATATGATGTAAAAATGGTTTGAAGAAATGCCTATATATTTCGATTCCTATATTGATGAAATATTGCCTTATTTAAAAATAAATGATAAACTACGGTTATATCCTAAAATCAATCGGTCAAATAAACAAATAATATTCACAGACAAGACTCCTACATACAGCGACAATCGCTCACGGACGTTAATAAATGCTCTTCGTTCAAATTGCTGTGCTAAATCACGTTAAACCATTTAGGTTACGGATATCTTTTAATTCGTTGCTGATACACCTGATGAGGGATTTGACTTTTCTAATGCATTGGCATTTAACGCTTCATTCATTTCGTCAAATGCTGCAAAATGTCGTTGTTGTAATATTTTTATATCTTCAAAAACTAAAATATAATATATAAATAAATAAACAAATGTATGTTACTATATACACATTAATATTACTATATTATTAGTTATATTACTAGTTATATTACTAGTTATATTACTAGTTATGTTACTAGCTATATTGCTAGCTATATTGCTAGCTATATTACTAGTTATATTACTAGCTATATTACTAGTCAATCGATTTACCTTTGTCAGCATAGAATGTATCCTTTAAATAGACTTTTTGAAGAAAATCAACCATAGCACCTGTACTTACTGCACTTTCTTCAAGCGGTAATGTATCATAGTATGAATGATCTATTTCAAATGGATTTTCTGGTGGTGGTGAAAGACTCAATGTTATCACTTCTGCAATTATATCCCATAACTTTATATCTGCATTAAAATAAATTAAATAAATCATGTTTGTAAAACAATGAACTGGTATATATATCTATATATTTGTTCTTTTATGCACCTTGGGTCTTCCATGCAGCTATAGTATCAAGCTTTAAGGGATTATCGGTTTCCAATTTTTGATCGTCTTGAAGTTGGATTAATCGTTTATGATTCGATCTCAACTTTTAAATTAATTAAAATTTATTAAATATTTGTTTTCTATAAACTATTTATCACTCTCAATTACTTACCCAAACATACGGACATTTATATCTTGCATATCCAGCTATTAGGAAAACATGGTTTGATTCATCCTAAATATAAGAAACTTTATTACATTATGTAAATGTTACATCGTTTATATTATTTTTTTGACTTACCTTTTCCAACTCTTCGTCTAACGGACTCGACGGTGGTAATGTCATTTCCAAAAATTCAGACCCGTTACTGAGTCTATTTTTTAAGAGTCCATTTATGAAATCTTTACCAATTTTACAATATAAACAATAATAATGAAGCTTACGTTCGTCGTGTTTTTGGTGAAAACAATGCATTACTCCTACATAAAGATTTTTTAAAATTCATATAAATCAATTTATGAATCAATTCACATGAAGATCAGATAACTTACTGAAATTTTGCAAGAGATAAAGAGTTATATTTCAGTCTACAGCTTTCTTCCGTCGAATTTCGTTTTTGACCATCAATGTAAACACGTAATAACAACTCTTCCCGACCTCTCAAGTATACTTCAAAATGCTTAAACCCCTTTTATATCGTTATTTTGATTGATAATTTTACAAAATGTTCTAATGTTATTATTATGAGAATAAAATGCTAGTTTTTTTCCTTACCTTTAAACAGCCAGCAGAAAGACAGTCCGCTAAAAAAGCCGATAGTCGAAGAGTTTCAGACCTCCCACCTATTTGTTCTTTTTGGTTCGCAAGCATTGAAGAATAAAAGATATTGAAATCGCATATCGAGTATCAGGAATAATTTCAAGATTAAAAATACTATCAACACGTTTTTGGATAGATCTGTGTATAATGCATAACTTTTTTTTTTGATAGATATAATAAATAAATAAATAAAAAATACATGTAATGAATAATAAATTAAGGAAATATCGGGAATGAAAAACACTTCTATTGTTCAAATATCAAACTTTAAAATGAAAAGTTGTACTACAATGAATCATCAATGACTTAATAATTCTTTAATACACTGTCGAATATAGATATCGATTAGCAGATTATTTATTAGATAATACACACATATATTCGAAATAAATTATGACCTGTCTATTACAAAATTTCATCATCATTAAAAATGTCCAAAATACATACCTGAATGTTGTACAGGTAGATTGTAGTCTGGACCAAAGTTTATATAATAGGAATGGATAAATTTAAGGACGGGCACAAGTTCATATCGACAATAACGATAAGGATTTGTAATTTATCGTCAGTGTGATGTCTGATTGACTGACTAGGGTGCCCTTCTTCTTGGATAGGGAGCCTTTAATTAATTGCCTTATCCGTATCTAACCTAACCTTAACCGGCTAAACAAAACTTCGATTTAATTAATAAAGGGTAGTGATGCATCATACTTGTAATAAATCATATACACATATATTTATTTTTTGGTTAAAAGTTTTGTTTTATAAGGGAACCATGGGTATTATGGCGCGGGGGGGTATTGTGGCGCACTTATGTTTTTCGATGATATCTTGCGATCCACTGATCTGAATCGAATAATTTTAGTACCGTTCGATTCGTCTTAGCGAGACGAATCAAATGGTATAAAAATTGGATTAGTTGGATCGATAGACTACAAGATAGATGTAAAATTCTAATAGAAATTCTATTAAAATCCGTAATGTTTATCAAACTAACCCAAAAAATCGATTACACGTGATTAAACATCCAATAAGAAATGCGATAATTATTTTCCAGGTCATAACCATTTTTCATTAAATCGTTAACATAAATTCATTCGCTTCTATTTCATGTATAACATAATCATGAACATATTCCATATTTCAATTAACGAGTTATTTTTGGGAATGGGGTAAACTATAAAATTTAAAAAATACTGAGTAAAATTTATTGATTTATATTTAAAATTCACCTTGGCACTAATCATGAAATAAACAAAAAGATCCATTTCTTAAATACGACTTTTTTTTGCTTGTTAATTACTTAAACAATTGCCTTAAACTTATGCAGTATACCATTTTAGCAAATTACTAAAATTGCTTTAGTATGAATATGAAATTTGTTATTTTTATAGCAAACTAGAACATTAATAGAGACAAATGAAATTGTGGCTTTAAATAAAAATCAAATCACAATTATATACTCTTTTGGTCCTATATAATTATGGTCATAATCATTTATTCTTGTAATCATAATCACAATGTTTTTTTATATGCGATTATAATTTTATTGTTACAATCATAATCATTATTACAAGAATAAATGATATAATTATACCAAAATCATGTCATACAATTAAAATCAATTAAAATTATTATAAAATTAATTGAAACCCAATTAATGATGAAATAATTGCAATTAAATCAATTTTATTTCATTATATCGTTACATTACTTTAGTTTGATGCAATAACTTAATAGAATCTTGGCAAATATATAATACTTCTAATTACATAAAAATCTAATTGTGGCTACGTCACAATTAATTAATTAAGTTCGAAATCATTAATTGAGTTTGAAAATTGCAATTAATTGCCCATACAATCAATTATTCAGTAGGCCTAATATATAAAGTAAAACAATTATGATCATAATTGCGATTAAAACAAACAAAATAATAATTTTAAATAAAGAATTAATCACAATCATGATCAAGATTGCAACAAATAAAATTATAATCTTATACAATCAAGTATGAATATATAAATGTACTAAATTTGTAAATAAAAAAAAAAAGGTAAATTAATAAAATTAATCAAATCAAATCAAAAAAAAAAAAACACAAAATGAGTTCCAAAATTGTATTTAAACCCAAAGCCAAAGTTACATCTAAATCCAAAAATGCAATTAATTTCAAAAATACATTTAAATCCAAAATCATCAAAACTGTAGTCAAACAGAAATCAAAACCTCAACAAAAATCGAACAGTACATATACATGCTATTAATTCTACTCTTAAAGCTCTTGTTAGATCTAGAAAACTTAGTATTCAGAAAGCTGTTTTAAGATATAGGGTTGCTAAAACAACTTTAAGATATATTAAAAAAAATGGCTTGCCTAACTATTCTGGTCCTTCATCAATTGTAAGTACTTATGAAGAAGAATAGTTAGTAGGCTATTGTTTGAATATGCAAAGATTAGGGTTTGGTCTTACATAATCTGATGTAAATTATTGTGTGATGAATATTGTAGGAAATAACAACCATGATTATCCTTTTAAAAATAGTGGACCTGGTAAGGCCTGGTAGATGTATTTTATAAGAGATCATTCTGAGTTGTCTTTTCATATATCTCAGGCCTTGTCAGAGGCACATTCACAGAGAGCAAATCTAATTATTATTAAAGATCACTTTGATAAATTTTATAAAATAATCGAAGAACATTTACTTACTACAGACCAAATCTGGAATATGGATGAAACTGGTTTTGTTATATCTTTCAAGATACAAAAGATTATTGCTAAAAAAAGGTCTTGACAAATCTACAAAGTTTTACATAAAAACTTCCATGATTATATTTTTGTTACCTCAATAATTTTGGCTGCTAGCAGTTATATACTGTCCTTAATTATTTACAAAAGCATTCATGCAATTTTTAATTTGTTAGATGGTGCTCTAGCTGACACTGTTATAGGTTTTACCAATTCAGAATATATGCGAAAAGATTTATTTCAAATGTATATTGAACATTTCATCAATTTTATTCCTTCAAGTCATCCAGTTCTTCTAATGCTTGACGGTCATAAGAGCCATATAAACTTTATGTATGTTAATTTTTGTTATGAAAACAAAATTTTGTTATATGCATTCATACTGCATACAATGCACATTCTTCAACCTTCTGAGCTTTCTTTTTCTAAGCTCAAAATCAAATATGATAAAGCTTGTGCCAAACTTCACAATGAAACTAATAAGCTAGTTACAAAACACACATTTGCTAAAATGTTAGGATCAGCATTCACAAGTATTTACACTTTTAAAGCAATTATTAATGCTTATAGAGTTACAGAAGTTTGACCTTTTAATCCTAATGCAATTAGTCCAGATCATCTTGCTCCCTTTCTATCTACAGAATGAATCAATATGTCATCTTTATTCCAACAAACTGATCAGGAATTTTCTTTAAATACTGTATCAAATATTCAACAAATTCATATATCATTATCTCAACTGATTCATATATCATCATCTCAACTAATTTATCACTCCTCTATGCTATCTTTCTAGTCAGATTATCATTTTACTTAAGCCAGTACTACAAAAAAAAATGAATTATTAAAAATATAAATTAATTCTTTAAAAAAAGAAAACATGATATTAAAAGAGGAACTCAAGACATTTAAAAATCCTGGTACCTGCTTGCTAAAATTGGCTCTTAAATATTCTACCTCCTGAGTTTCAACACAAGTCAATGAATTAGAATCCCAACAATCAAAGAAAAGAAAGACTTTTTCATTTGCTCGACATCTTATTAATGAGGAATCTCTACAAATGTTAAAGAAAGCAGATGAGTTAGCATAAAACAAAATAGAAAGTGCAAAACAAAGAAAAGAAGAAGCAGCCCAGAAAAAAGCTGATAAAGAAGTTAAAAAAGTCCAAAAAAAGGCTAAAATAAAGAAAAAAAAAGAAGTATGTTTACAATGTTTTTGTAAAAAAAAAAATCATGTAGATACAGATATTACTAGTACTGTTCTGGTTTTGATATTTTAATATATAAAGTATTAATAAAGTAATTTATGCAATATGTAAATCTTAACCTGCACAGTGTGCTATAATACTCTCAACTTGATGATTTTTGAATGTTCAGTATACTAAATTTTTTTAAAAAGTGCAAGCTTTTTTTTTTATTATTAGTTAGTAAATCAAATGTATTTTATTTTAGTAAATTATAGGAATAAAATAAGCTTTTTTCAAAAAATTTTACTATTAGCAATCATTGAGTGCATTATAATACCCATGGTTCCCTTAAGTTGTATATAAATTTTTTTAAAAGTACAAAACTCTTTCTTATAGATCCTTTTTTTATAAGCAAAATAAAAACAAATACAATTAGGTATATTCAAATGATATTATAATTAAATAATTAATAATAATTTGTAACAATTACAATAAACAAAATTTTCAAAGATTAAATGAAGTGAATAGTAGTTTTTGTATTTCAGTCTTCTTTACAATTTTGTTATTAATTATGTTAACTACTAAAACAGATAACAATAAAGATAACAGAATATGTTTTTCAGAAATCTAAAAAAAAAAACACAATCTGCATACACTTATATTGAAAATAACAATATAATAGGCAAACAAAATAAAGAAAAAAATACAAAATTAATTACAATATTATTAATTTTGTATAAACAATTACTAAAAAAAATACAATAAAAAAAATTTTTTTAAAAAAAAAAAATTCAAGTTTACTTTCAAATTTTTAAGATATAATATTATCATTAAAAATAAAATTAACAACAAATCTAATTTCAAATTTATATTAACTAATAAAAAAATATATTTTTACAAACTTACAAATTAACTAAATTTTGATTTAGAATTATATAATAACTAATTTATACTAGAACAAAATGAAGATATAAACAAATTAATTTAATTTGAATTAGTTTTCAGACTTAGTATATCAGTAGACAATAATACAAATAAACAAATATCTAAACTAAAAATAAATTAAAACTCAACAAATATAGATAAAAAAAAAAAACTTTTATTTAACTAATATAATATTAAAAGAACAAATACAAATAAAGATATCATACAATTAGATAGTTATCAAAAGTTTTTTAAAAAGAAACAAAAAAATTTTAAGTATTTTAATAGTAATAAAAAATAGAATAGTACAAATATGCATAATTAGTCTTTAAAGAAATCAGACAAAATAAATTAGAGTTTTTTAATATAATAACTTAAATTTATTTAAAAAGCAAAGATGTATCAACCTTTTATAAACATTTTAAGAAATTAAGTAGATATAAAGTTCTTATATTACCTATTTTAAATTATATTCTAAAAGCAATATTAACAAAATTTTTTTATAAAAACAGTATTTTTTAGAAGCTTTATACAAATTATTGCAATTAGATTATAGTATTAAACAGAATTTAATAGTTTGTTTACAAAGACTCCAAATATTTACAAAACAATATAATGAATTAATAAAAAACAAAAAATATTATACCAAAAATTTTAAATTATTACTAATAAAACTAGCAACAAATTATCTGACTAACTTAGATTTTAATTTAATAAACATATATATAAAAGATCATAAGATATATTTTCTATTTAGCAAAATTTGCAAAAATTTTATAACAATTAAACTTTAAAACAACTAGAAAAATATTATTAAATAATCTTTAGGATTGATAGCATAGCAGTTATGCTCTAAGATCACAAATTACAAGGTTGTTGATTTAAATTCTAGTAATAGCAATTGTAGAGATGTATTTTTAAAATAAAAAACTGCAATACTATAGCACTAAAGACCCAGAACAACATCAGAAAGACTTATTTTTAGAAAAGGCATGTAATCTGTAATTGAAAAGCCACCTGATAATGAACATGAGTTAAAGCCTAATTTGAAATAACTAAAGTCATGAGATATAATATAAAACCAAAAGTCTAACAATGAGAGATACTACATAAATTTATGATAACAGTCAGTTCTAAACAAAGCCTGGTGAAGTTTTCTGATTCTAACAGATGTTAATATGACAGATTGCTCTTGAAAAGTTTGAAAGCACAGACTGGAGAAGGTCAAAATCTAGTAACTAAGAACATTAAGAATATTAGTTTGAAATATAGAACACAAAAATAATCTTGGCAAGATTATTAAAAGAAGAAAAAATAATATTATTATTAAATCTTATTAATAATATATTGTAATAAAATTTACTAAAAACTAGCAAGCTGTAGTAATTTTTAATAGCATGAATGCTGAGTAGAAGATCTTTTATTTAAAGGAAAATAAAATAAATAAAAATAACCAAAAATAAGAAATAAATATTTAAAAGTAAAATTTAAATTTAATAGCCTCCTAGGTACTATAAGGTACAACAATAGGACTAGTTTTTAAACTAATTCTACTATTCAGTCTGTACAGATCAGGCATAACAAAATGTTTACTCTGTATTAGACTTTAAAACTTAGAAATGTCTGTGAAGTATAACCAGAAGAAGAAAAGCCTTAATAATCAGACTGTTTACAACTATATATGGCCTTTAAATTTTAATAATATAAAGCTAATATTTGCCAAATAACTAATTAAGAAAACTAGCTATTTATTTTATATTATTACAAGAAAAAGAAAAAGAATAAAAGAATAATATAAAACTAGTATTTGCCAAATAACTAATTAAGAA